CAGAATGAATCTCTGAGGGGCCCAGTGTGCAGCAGAATGAATCTCTGAGGGGCCCAGTGTGCAGCAGAATGAGTCTCTGTAGGGCCCAGTACACAGCAGAATGAATCTCTGAGGGGCCCGGTACACAACAGAATGAATCTCTGAGGGGCCCGGTGTGCAGCAGAATGAGTCTCTGTAGGGCCCAGTACGCAGCAGAATGAATCTCTGAAGGGCCCAGTGTGCGGCAGAATGAGTCTCTGTAGGGCCCAGTACGCAGCAGAATGAATCTCTGAGGGGCCCAGTACGCAGCAGAATGAATCTCAGTCGGTTATCAGACAGGTAGGAGCTGTGCACGCTATTCGGAGTGATCAGACGGTACGGATGCTTTCTGGCGACGTGGCAGCGCCCGGTGGACCAGCCCCTTCGCTCACCTCGGCGGTTCACTTTAATAATCCGTTGCGACGGCTTCGCTTCTCTGTAATGGCGTCTTGGCACAGTGGCGGGGTTAATGACTGCTTGCAGGTGCGTTCCGAACTGCCCTTGCCCTCAGGCCTCCTGCCCCCCCCCGCGTTTTATTGCCGTCCCCGAGGCAGCCTGTCCATCACTTGCCGCTTGTTTGCTCCTGTATCGGCACAAGGGTGAAACTCACGCTGTAATGGCAACAGGTCTTTGCTATTAAGGGAGCCCTTTGTGCCTTGCTCATTAGCCATTCACGCCGCTGCGCGTTTTATAGCGGGCCGTGCTAAAGGTGACATGAACCCGCCACCTTCCCGGGCCTTTCTGTGCTGCCGCCCTGCTCCTGTGAAGCGCGGGGGGAGCGTGGTCCTAATTAAAAGAGCTGCAGGGGTTAATCCGAACCAGGAATGCCGTCACCTAAAGGGCTCCTCTCGTGGAATAATTAGCACCACAGCCACGTGTGTCCGGCCCGTTTCGCAGATATGACTTTTCTTTGTGTTTCTTTGAAATAAGGTAATGAAAATATTATATCTTTATTATACTTTTTAATATTTTACAACTGTTGCACAAGTATACAGGAAGTTTTCACGTTTCCCTTCTTACTCTTCTGTAAGACACGCACACATATATACGGGTGAGAATAAAGTTTGGTGTCAGTTCTCAGGGTCAGGCCAGTCATCTGGCAGCCCTGGAGCACTTTTTTTCGGGGTTAAGGGCCATGCAAAGGGCTGACTGTGGGATTTGAACCAACGACCTTCTGGTCACAGGCACTAACCCGCAGAGCCTGGGGCAAAGTGGTATTGCTATAATCCTGTTTCAGTAGTATAGACTGCTGTCATTATTATCATAATAGTGTACAGTCGTGGCCAAAAGTTTTGAGAATGACACAAGTGTTTTCAAAAAGTTTGCTGCTTCAGTGTTTGTAGATCTTTTTGTCAGATGTTTCTATGGTATACTGAAGTATAATTAAAAACATTTCATAGGTGTCAAAAGATTTCATTGACAATTATATTAAGTTTATGCAAAGAGTCAATATTTGCAGTGTTGGCCCTTCTTTTTCAAGACCTCTGCAATTTGCCCTGGCATGCTGTCAATCAACTTCTGGGCCAAATCCTGACTGATGGCAGCCCATTCTTGCATAATCAATGCTTGGAGTTTGTCAGAATTTGTGGGTTTTTGTCTGTCCACCCGCCTCGACGATTGACCACAAGTTCTCAATGGGATTGAAGTCTGGGGAGTTTCCTGGCCATGGAACCAAAATGTCGATGTCTTGTTATCACTTTTGCCTTATGGCACGGTGCTGCAGGAAAAGGCATTGTTCATCACCAAACTGTTCTTGGATGGTTGGGAGAAGTTGCTCTCGGAGAATGTTTTGGTACCATTCTTTATTCATGGCTGTATTCTTAGGCAAAATTGTGAGTGAGCCCACTGCCTTGGCTAAGAAGCAACCCCACACATGAATGGTCTCAGGATGCTTTACTGTTGGCCTGACAGAGTGATCTCTAACCTTGCCCTCGTCAACACTCTCACCTGTGCTAACGAGAGAATCACTGCAATGATGTCAGCAGCTCCTTCGGTGGCAGGGCTGAAATGCAGTGGATTAAGTACATTTTCATGGCAAAGAGGGACTTTGCAACGAATTGCAATTCATCTGATCACTCTTCATAACATTCTGGAGTATATAGAAATTACCATCATAAAAACTGAGGCAGCAGACTTTGTGGAAATCAATATTTCTGTCATTCTCAAAACTTTTGGCCATGACTGTATGTGAATGAGATGAGCAGAGTGCACTGCCCGCTCTTGGTCAGTATTGTTGTACCCGTCACCATCAGACACAATGACGCTGCCTTGTCACCGGTGATATTTGCATGGTCAGGACTGTGGAAGGTCTCCATCAGAGTTGAGTTACTCCCCAGCTCCATTGGTGGTTGGCACATGGACATTGATAAACAAGCATCCCTCTGCCCTTTGGGGGGGAGCAATGTAGAGCGGAAATGCTTTAATTACTGTCCTGAGGGAAGCTTCTACAATGGAGCTCGCAGCCTGAATCGCATTCAGCGTGGGCTCACCCATCTGGGAATGATGGGTCTTGCAGATTCTGCGTCAATATTGCTGTGGAAACTGCCCTCTGCCCCCAAAGTAGGTGTAACTGTGGTGGGGTGGCTTTCCCACAAAGCCCATGTTAGGGGATCCTTTGGTGACCCCGCTGAATGCCTCAGGGTGTCTCCTGACAGCATCTGGGCCTGGTGACTGACACAGACCCCTCACTGAACTGCACTGAGTGTGTGTTTTTGGGGGAGGGCACAGGTATGCGGTGTCTTATGGGATTCCCCCCCCACCCCCACCTCCCCACTGTGGCCACAGTGTTATCTTCGATTGTGGTATGGTGGAGATGTAATTTTTAATTAAATTTTATGTTGACAAAAACTTTCAGTATCTTACATATACAGTCGTCCCTCACCATTTTGCGCTTCGACTTTCGCGGCTTCACTCTATCGCGGTTTTTTCAAATACATTTATTCATTAAAAAGTTGATAGACAAATCCTTC